GCCCGATTTACCGGAGTGTTTAAAACATTCTTGCAAGACTCTATTCGGAAGAGCTTCACAACCCACACCACACCCTTCCTACCACACGAGCAAGTGCCATTGCTTTTTCTTTCACATTCATCTACCTCGGTTTCACATCCATTTAGTYAAAAGGGTTACGCATTTCGACAAAAATGGCGACTCCTCGAGCGACGCAGCAAGGAATCCCTTTTGACGAACCAAACAAGGATGCCGCAACGTTGTTGGCATCCGGTGCCCCCAATCCAGACGACACATTCGACAAGGATCCKTTCGATGGGATCGAAGACATCTACGATGACCTGGAAGCAGCCGGACCACAACCGCCACCACCCACCCGGGACGCAATCATCGACCAGGTCGGATCAACGTATCCGTCGGAAGGCGAAGACGTTGAAGTAACACAACAAGGGTATTCCTTTTTCTGTGGAATGGATCCCTCGAAGGAGGAGTCCTCGAACAAAATTTCCAAGCTGTGGAGAACCATGATGGTTCACAAGTACTGTGAAATGAACGAAGACGGTACCGGGAATGACGAAGGCAACAACCACATCGACTCCGGGGCAAACCCCGAGGTTGCGGGTCCAATCATCCGAGTCATGGACAACGGAGAGAAACAACACGAGGACGAGGTCGAGGTGAAACAGATCTCACCAAAGGTTTACAAACCTGATGATCCCAACGAAAGCTACAACCGAGACACCATCATCCAACACAAGATTGACCAGAACGAAGAAGGTGCGACGGAGAACGCAGACGAACCGAACAAACCGAGGCTCGTCAAATGGAACCCAAARTTTCCGGAGTTACCTGCGCAAATGCAAGTGTTTGGGTCTTCCCGTCAGCAAACCGCTGTAGATGTTTTCGAGGAAGGCAATGGTGATAAGGACATGCAAGAAGCTAGGAAGATCAGGAAGAATTACACCCCATCGTTTTGGCAATCAATGGGCAATAGGAAAACATTCGGCGTATCCCATCGCATTATCTTCTTGGTGTCAATAAACTTTTTCTTCTTTGTTCTTTTGATCATCCTGATTTCAAGATTCCAGCGCCTGGACAACAAAACCGATGTGGATTCCTTTTCTAGTAACGCTACAAAAACCAACATCGCAGAGGATTCCACACTTGTACCGGTACCCGTCGACGTAAAGTCTGAATTGTTCCTGCTTTGCGAAGAKCAAGGAGATACTGGCCAAGACGGCATCGTCTTGAGGCCAAATCAAGCTTTGGAGAATGGAGAATATTTTTGTTCCCCATCAAAGAGATACATGATTGTCATGATGGACGATTTGGCAATTGTTKACGTTGATTCCAGCGAACTTGTCTGGTCGGCAAACGTGACGGGAGCTGCCCAAATGCTCTTGCAAGAAGATGGAGATTTGGTCATCCAAGACGAGGCAGGAGAAGTGATTTGGAGCACCGGACCGGTTCCAGAAAACACCGGGCTCTACGATCTTCAAATGGTATTCATGGAAGGCGACGAAGCTGCGATCGCCGTTCAGCAAGCTCCCACCAGTGGGCTGACTCTTTCGGCATCGAACTTCTGGATGGATGGCGTTCCAAGCTTTGAATACTGTGAGGATTGCGAAAAGGTGAACTTGGCATTTCCGGTGAGAGGCACCTTCTACCTTCCGACCTWCGACGGGACGGAACTGGCATGGCGGGACGAGAACGGGAACCGTCCCGCGCACTTTCCCATGCAAGGGTACTATTCGTCAAGCGACCCGGAGGTCGCGAGATCCCACGTCGAGGGAATGGAATACGGCAACATTGATTTGGCAATCTCGTCTTGGGAAGGTCAGGGCACCAATTTTGATCGGTCGAGAATGACCATGCTCCTGGAAGAGACCAAGAGACAAAACGGTGGTTTGAAATGGACCGTGTACCACGAATCGGAGCAAACGAATCGTCCRAGTCCCGAGGCGATTGCATCCGATCTCGACTACCTGAAAAAATGGTTTGCGGGGCACGACGCCTGGGCAAACATCGATGGTAAACCGGTCATTTTTGTAAACAACGAGGGAGGCTGTGACGTTGCCGAACGATGGACGACAGGTGCCGCTGCCGACTGGTACGTTGTTTTGAGACGCTTCAACGGATTCGAAACCTGCGAATTTCAACCCGACTCGTGGCACGAAAGGCGCGTGAATCCGTTCGCGAACGGGGTCGACGTCCAGCAAGGGTTGTACTACAATCTTGCGCCCGGCGAATGGGAGCCCGGCAGGCGGAGACCGCGTCTCGATCGATTGAGTGCTAGGGAATGGTGCAACAACGTTCAAAACATGGTGGACAGCAACGAACAGTGGCAGTTGATCGTCAGCTTTAACGACGCTAGGGATGGCACAGCCATCGAACCATCGGTGGAATGGCGAAGCAGCTCTCCGTATGGCTCATTCCTGGATTGTCTTCACGATCCTCAACTGTTCTAGAATTTTCTGCGCGAAGACAGAGAATCTTAGTTCCAAACTTGTAGAATTATTTATAACATGGAAAATAAACAAATGCAATGCGTGTTAACAAATCCTTCCATTCAACCAACTGTCTTGGAGAACGAATCAAAAATAGACCACCTTGACAACAAGAATTGTGTCTCGTCTAAAACACGATTCTGCTCGGTACCAGATACTGTGAAAGACTTGTGTTTTCTAGTCCAAATAACAAAGGCTGTTGRGACGGATTGATTTCAGATGTTGATGTCCTATCGATGGGTTTTCCTTGTTCTGAATGTGAGGATAAATCACGAGTAGTTAGTGAATGAGCCACACGCTCAATCTTAGTGAGCAGCAATGAGCTCACTCTTTATTGTAAACACGTAGTTATGGCACTAAAGAGCACGTATATTTCGCAGGTTATGAGCAACAAAGGACACATACGGTACCTCATCTCATCAACCACACCATCACAAAGTGGAGTAACAACCCCCATGAATTCAAATTTCGGATACCTAAAGTACGATGTATGGTACGTAGAAGGGACGTAACGTAGATACTGTAATGCACTACTTAGTTTGTATGGTACGTATGTAAGTACCGTACGAGTTATTGTAATTCGAAATCGAATAAAACTACAGTACGGTACGAAGTAAGGCTTCAAATTTGGCAACCAGGCATCCCATTGGTTCCCAATGACAAGCATAGTACCGTACGTACGTAAGTACCTCCTATGCCATTTATGTGTTGTAGGTTGTAGAAGTACGAATCTACTAGAAATAGTACCATTAAACCGGGAAAACAGTGGGATTTTGGTTCCGAACGTTATCATCGGCATCAAGCAGACGTGAACAAGATTCAAAACTGGGCTCCAGCAATCTCATCTTTGATGCAACTCCAACAACTRCAAGAAAAAGGATTGTCCCCCATAAAAAGCACCACATTTTYATTATGAACTACAACCATMCAATCATGCCTCTGGCTAAACCTCTTTCTGCCGAAACACAAGAATCATTAAGAAAATGGCAAACGAARAGTTCAGYACCAGGCGCAAGCTTCACTGGTCTGGGTCGTCTTCGACCGAGTGGTCGGCGTCCCCGCTGCCGCCTGGTTCGAATAGCGGGCCACTCGTCGTGCATGAATGGGATGTCATAGAAGTTCTAGAGTCTCAAGACGCATTTGATGGTGGATGTTCCTCATCCTCCTATAGAGACAATCGGCACGAGTCAAAGAAGGAGCCAAGTGCTTGGCGGTGCAGAAGAAGAAAACGTTGGAAACGAATCATTGTTATTTTCGTCACGTTTTTGTTTCTTTGGATTGTTGCTTATTTTTGCGCTAAGAAATTCACTTTGGGCAAGTACGAAAATACGAGGAGTATCGAAAAAGAGGACAGCAGTTTGGATTTGGATTTGGACTTAGCTGGAAAAGCACAGCAAGATCAGGGGAAGATTGCAGTCAGCTGTGGCAATATGCCCAGTGAAAAGTCCGAAAACACAAGKAGTAAAGAAAAACAAAACAGTGATTTGGATTTATATTTGACTGGAAAAGTAGAGCAAGACCACGGGAAGACTGCAGTCAGCAGTGGCAATATGCCCAGTGTCTCTACCAAGGAAGATCTATCCACAATGAATACGGCGGGTGCGGCTTCATATGTTAGAGACCAAGTACCCTCCGCAACTAATATGACAACTAAAGCTCCAAACGTCATTATCGAACCCAAAGAAATCGTTGTTCTATATCCAAATGAATTTATATCGGCCGGGCAATTCCGATATTCTGCAAATGGACGTTTCAAAGTTGGCTTGGCAAAAGAACATGGTGATTTAGTTTTGATTGAAGTGAACTCTTCTGGTGAACACGTGATCTGGTCGTCTGGTACGAGTTCTGGTTTAAATCGAAATTCAACTGGCGAAACCAAATGCTTCATGCAAGCAGACGGAAACTTGGTTCTCAGAGACATTAACACGATGATGTCACTCTGGATGACAAAAACACAGGGCAATCTAGAAGCTCGTCTTGTTCTGGACGATTCTGGTCGAATAGCCGTGAGATCAGATGACAATTACTCGACAATTTTGTGGATGGATGGCATACCTAGGCATGAATTCACGAGACCATCTTCTGGAAATATGACTTTTCCTATTCGTGGAGCTTTTTACTATCCGTGAGTGCGATACCTTCGCAACACTTCATGGACGTCTACACAAATTATCAAATGTATTCAAAAATACTCACTTCATGTCTTGTCCATTCCTGCATTTAGCTGGTATCCGTCAACTTGGCACATTAATGGTCATCCAGCACACTATGATACTTCCTTGGGAATGTACAGCTCAAGCGATCCTACCGTAGCGAATGCACATGTCGCGGCAATGGATTTTGGTCGAATCCAACTCTCAATAGCTTCTTGGTGGGGTCCGAATACAAATCTAGATAGGGCAAGATTGACGTTGCTAATGGACGAATCGATTGCTCAGGGTTCACCTCTCAAGTGGACCGTCTATCACGAAGATGAACGCGACGAAACTCCATCTCCCGAAGAAATCCACAATGATCTTGGTTATTTAGAAAAATGGTTTGCTTGGCATAAAGCATGGGCTCACATCGATGGCAAGCCGGTGATTTTTGTATACAACGAAGCTGGGTGTGATGTTGTGAGTCGCTGGATGCAAGCCAGTGAAGGAAAGTGGTTTGTTGTTTTGAAGCTATTCTCTCGCTTCGAGAATTGTCCCGATCAGCCCGATTCGTGGCACCAGTATGGTGTTGGAGAAAAGGATGGGACGGTTCACAACCCAGGGCACTCATTTGTGATTTCGCCCGGGTTTTGGAGGGCCGACACCGATGTTCCGATTTTGAAACGGGTAAATCGTACCCAATTTTGTCGACAGGCACAAACAATGGTCCAAAGCAAAGAGCCTTGGCAATTGATTGTGAGTTTCAATGAAGCTGGGGAGGGTACTCTAATCGAACCATCTCCAGACTGGGAGAGCGATAGTGGCTATGGCGATTACTTGGATTGTCTGCACGATTCGTACGTATAAAGTCACTACGAAAAGCAAAAAAGTTCGAGCCTCGATAAAATATAAAATGCTTGTAAACACATCATAAAAGTACTATACTAGTTGAAAGCGGCATGTATTATACTTTATCGTTCCACTAGGATTGCCTACRCTGTCCAACCCAAACGAATGTTTACCAAAATTGCTTCATTTCTGATTAGTACATATCCGAGGATGGTGGTAGCTAGTGCGTCTCTACTAGAACTACTACTACTAGTACTAGTACTATGAAAAATAATACTTCTATGTAACAAAAGGCCTATTTTTGCATAAATTATGTAAACGAGGATGAATCATTTGTTGGTCTCTAAACGTATGGTTCATGATATCACTGCATCAGTGAAAGCCTTGAAGAGTAGTTATGTCTAGTAGTAGTAGTAGTAGTAGTAGTAGTACTAGTACTAGTATTAAAATGTAAGCTGCGGACCCTGCGATCCAACGAAATACGTTCACTAGTAGTACGGTAGTACTACTAATCCTAGTTCGGCCAACTTGCCGTTKAAGGCATTGACTGGTAATAGTGTTAGTATGTTTCGTACTACATATCGCTACGTAGACATGCGTAAGCTGCACAAAATTCATCTGCTTCCGAAGAATTTCCATGACGATAATGATTCGAATTTCCTTTCCGCGACCGACTGAAGACGTGAACGCACGTTCAAAAGAACTGGTGAATTCACTCTCGTTGGTGATCTGTCCGTCGTAGGTCTTTGGAATTGCMGTATATTTGGTTCGTTGATTTAGCCTACCGGCCAGTAGAAAGAAACGAATTTTTACTGTTTAGAACTACGAGAGTCGCTTAGAGCAATCAATATGAGAGACCGTCAGTACCAGACACCTACGAAGGATAGACAGATACTGAACCGACTCATTTAGTTTTTACGGTGATCGTCGCCGAAGGACGTGTTGTTTCTCGTTTGTTTATGAGTATGAGGATGAATTCCTCTTCATTGTTCTGTTTCGTGTCAGCTCAGGCCATTTTCTCTTCCCCTTCTGCGAGTTTGTGTGCCGTATTCGAAACCCATGTGCAGTTCTCACAAAAACATCACAGAAATACAATACTCGTACCATACGATAAACGCCGTGAAAGAACCCATAAAAGAAATAATATCGGATAGTTTGAGTACCACCGTGGACAGTAGTAATCAAAACAGACTGTTGTTGTCTCCGTTTCAAAGCAATGAAAAAAGGTTCTAGACCGTGGTTTTACTACTATAAGGAAATTCATATAACTTAATAGAATAATACGAGTGCAATTCCAGTTGCTGTTGCCCTCCAATCGGATCGGCGGTCCTTAGTGTTTGTACTTTTCTGAAGGCCAAGTTTCTTAAGAACCAAACTCCTCTTTTTTCACATCATCTGCCAATGAAATGAGATACAAGATGTCGATCTCTAGGTCAGCAAACAACGATGAGCATGCTGCAGCGGAGCTGCTCTGGCAACTGAAGGCAATCGCAACCAAGGAAGTAGAAAACGTGAACATCCCATACAGCTGTATCGATTCCTTCTTCGATCCGTTGGAGTCATTGGAAGGGCGAGGAAGAACAGTTTCTGTTGACGAGACRGTGGATCTTGCCATGAATCAAATCTCGCCAGTCCTGTCGGTGATTCCAAAARCATTTACCGAACGAAACCACTTCCTTCTCGACACCTCGAGTAGCTCAATCGATCATATTGATCATCACGACTGGAGCCCAACTGTCGAGAAAAAGAGCCGTCGTCCATCACTGATTAGAATCGGGGAAGGGACAAGACAATCCAAGAGGAAAAGAGAAAGCCATGTTGGCCTCACCACAAAGTCGGGTATCATTCGTTCTACGCTCCGTAAGAAGGTAAGCATTGCTCTGCTACTTAGTCCATCAACCATACCGCCTCTTACCTAACYWGTCACCCATTTGTTATTTTCCGCTYTGGTCCGATTCGTCTGTCAATTAAGTTCTCGTGGAAACAGTATCCAGAAGTAAGTCACAATAGAGGTGGTCTTCAAAAGGCTTCTCGATTGAGTTTCATTTCGAGAGATTTCTCACTCAAATCGCTTTGTGAAAACATCTTTTCCTATACATTCGCTGCACTCATCCAGTTGGAGGATTACCTCCTGAAAAATCAAGAAGAGTATTTTGAGTATTCTTCTCGTAACTACACAGCCGAACAAAGAAAGTATAATAATGGTTTGACTCGGGGATTGTTAGACCTTGCATCTGAGGAGGGCTACATTTTTGAGGAATTTACATTCTCTATGGTGAGAGACAGGATCCGCTGTTACTACAAGTCTCATTCGCAGTCCGCCAAGAAGAAACGTCGAAGGTGATTCATCAATCTCTGTATCAGAAACGAAGATGCAAGGGCAAGGATAAGCATCAGAGATTGACGGAACATGTTAATGCAAACGATGAGTTTCGTTAATCTTCTCTCGAAAAGGAATACAGCCATCACAATAGTTTGACGGTAAAAACTCTTGCATAATATATATATGGTAACAATTCATACATAATACTTGTGAACTTCATATTAATAAAGATTCRAATCTAATTGTTATTCACCACCCCACAAAAATCGTATTGTGSAATCGTGACCGAARGCATGAAATAATGTGGTCACGCCGAAGCAAGAAAGAAATTGAGATCCGATAATATGTTAAATTCGATCTTACTTTATTGAGTTGATCGGAATTTTCTTAGATTTCGATTTCTTCTTCTGCTGACCCCGAACAACTCGCCTCGCCACATTCATTGCTTCCTCCAATTGGTTCCGAATATCGCGTGGATGATTGCTGATATCTTCTTCTGGAGGAGTATCCGAAAACGGAATGCAGTTTTCTGTCTTTACAACACGCAACGCGCCGCGTTCACCAACAAGGGAAACAAGCAAGCGGTCCGCCAATTCGAGCTGGGATGTTAATTCACCATCCTTTGGAATGCACTTTCTCGCTGGCCACATGGGGTACTCTTCAACTTTGACGAAACAAAATTCTTCGGAAAAGTTCACATTTGCCCATACCTCGGACAACTCGGGAACTRGATGGGAAGTTTTCTTCTTTTTTGGTCGACTCTTGATCCATACACCCATGGCATCAATTAGAGCCGAATTCTCTTCTTCCATTTTCGTAATTTTTGCGTTTGCTTTCTGAACGAAAGCAGATATGAATGCTGCCTGCTTAGAAACTGTTCTAGTCTGTTTCACTGCTCTAATCCAATCCACACGACTCGCATCCTCGTGTCCGTCAAGACTACTATTCAAAATGATAGCCTCTGCACAAAGGCAATTCGAAATATCCGAATAATCAATTTTTGTCTTCGTTTGATCTKCGATTCCCTTCTCTAAATTCGTTTCATTTGCATCTTCTACACTTTCGTCATCGGTATCTTCTTCGTAACCACCATGCTTCTCTAAAACTTGTAAGGCTTCCTCCTTGCAATAGCTTGCTGCCTCAGGATGATATTCGACTAATGCATGCTTTAACTCAGCAACTACAACAGTATTTTGTGTTTTACGAGCCGCTGAAATTGCATCCACAAGAACAGTGTGAATCTTCGTATAGGCCTTTGCAGGGATCCGCCTCAATCGATGAATTTGCTTTTTCCAGGCATCCTGGATCCTCTCTTCCTCGTCTTCAGGGCTCGTCGACATATTCTCGTCGGCCTCGTCGGTTTCCTTGGCCACCATGGCAAGACCAGTCGCTTCGAAAATTCTATTTTCCAACTCTAGCAAACGTTGCTAAATGATGTCACAGGAGGAAGTCAGGAGTAAGAATCAAGTGAAAAACAACTTCCACGTTTCAGCATGTGAATACATTTGAATACTCAATTGAAAAGGAACTCACCCTAATCATGCATACAATCTGGTACGTTGAAAGTGCCGAATTTTGCGAAGAGGCGGCGTTCGAATTATATGAACTCGGCAACCCATTATGCTGCTTCTTTGACTTGGGTTCTGGGGATGCAATCACGCTGGAGGGTGATCCACCGTTGTTTGTCAAGGTGGTTTCGTCGCAAAACAGAAAAGGCAAGCTTCCTTCGTTCCATGCATGGATTGCTGTCTCGAGACTCGAAATCCAGGCCTTCCGGTCTCCAGTTTCCCATTTTGAAAGGTTTTCAACGCGTTCTTCTAGCTCCAGTAGCTGGCTTACTGTGAATCCCACGATGCCCGTACCATCAATGTGACCAGTTGGCCATAATTTGCTGCATGGCAGCTTTTTAACACGTTTATCTTCGTCGTCGGGGGCTTTTCGAACCTCTCGTCGATTGGCACGGCGTTTTCTAGTTTGCTCTTCCTGTGTCTCGAAGTTTCTGAGCATTTCCAACCCTGTCTCCAGCTCTAAATCGTACTCCTCAACCACATTTCCTTCCTCAACTGATTTTTCCAACCGCTCGATCTCCTCTTGAAGGTCAATCAACTCCTGTTCGGACTGGGATGCTAACCGACCTGATTTTCGTCCGCTTTGGTAATTGGTTCGAGCGTTTTCTAATCTACGTTTAACATCACTCTTCTCTCGAAGCAAGGCCTTTTTGTCATTGGCTTCTTTGATATCGTCATAGACATGGCGGCGTGCCAGCTGCAGAGCTTCGTGAAGGTTTGATTCGCGAATGCCACGAACATCCAAGGATTCCATRAACTGRTTCAGAGTAGACTTCTTTTTAATAGCCTGCCAGGAAATTCGACGAACCGGTTTGCTATCAGGAATCTTAAACGGTAGATCGGTTTGAATCGGTTTCCCCTGTTGGAGGAAAAAGACAAATTCCGGATCCTGCGARCAATGATAGACTTCTTGAAAGTTTCGATCCATTCCAGCGGGTTCCGTGCGAATGCGTTTTGATCGAACGCTCTTGTCGTAGGCGTCTTGCGCCTTCTGTTGTTCCCTGCGTACCTTTTCCAACTTAGCTTCACTTATTTTGGAAGCCTTACTACTGCTTCGAGTAACTTTTTCCGGTTTCTTCACTTCTACTTTCTCCTCTCCGTTTGCCTCCCCCTTGATTGCCGCCTCAATCGCTTTTTGTTTTTTTTTTCCTCGGCTGCTTCGGCAGCGAGCTGTCGATTGTGAGCCGTCTGAAATTTCCGGAATTGTGCATCGGCTGCCTTCTTTCGTTTCAAGAGTTCGTACGTCTCRTCATTCCGAATCTCAAGTTCCTCCGCACAATCCCCACAAGTGCCGAGAATATCGTCTACCAAGGCCTTCAGCAACGAAAGTAATTCCTCAGCACTCAGTTGCCASGGGTCGGTATTYACAAATTTGCTATGTGCCTTTTTCAAAATACCCGTTCCAAGATAAGAGGAATTTGAAGTTGGAGGGTCGAGTTCACTGCTGTCTTTTGGTTCATCATTTATAAAAAAGAGGTATTCTGCGTCGATGCCTAAAGAGCGAATTGTGGTCTTGCCCTCTTCTGCCGGAATCCTATCAGTGTACTTTTGTTCCATGGCATCCATATACAGCAACAGCACCTCGCTCCAGCTGGCAGGCGTCAATGCTACGCTCAATTTCTCAGGCACGAGATATTGCAGTGCCACCACAAATAAGTGTGTCATCAAGGGCGGAAGCATCTTCGCCTTTTTGCACCATCCCTTCGAAACYAACTGGACGCATTCCATCCATTGGTTCAATGAAAAGGGTGCAACGATTGATTTTTGTTTCTTGAAGCGACCCCATCCTAAATCTCCACGAAAAAAATGGTAAATGTGAATCACATCGTTCATAATCCCCGACCCCATCGTATCGGACCGACAAGCGGAAGGATAGTTGGGCATGGCCAGTTCCAGGGACGGGCGAGCGTTGTCTCTACAAGGYGACACCACCTTTAGTTCCCTGTCTTCCTCGATGAGCTTGAGATCGTCCATGGGAAACTTGCGCTTTCGGATTCGCTCCTGACGATCCTTTTCTTTCTTTTGCTTCTCCCTCTCGGCCTTCTCCTTTCGCTCTTTCTCTTTCAGAGCTGCAAGCTCTGCTTTGGTTGGAGGTTTTGCAGCGGCTGCTGCTTTCTTGGCCGCCTTATCAGCCTTGGCGTTGGCCAATGCYGTCGCCTTTCTCTTCTTTGCATTGGCCGCCGCCTTTTTCTTTTGTTCATTCTTTACGTAAACTGGATTGATCTTGAAGGAGGATTTGATTTTGACAAACCGCTTGGATTTGACTCCCAGTTTGAGGGTGAAATTCATTTTCTGTTTCAGTTTGGCGGGATCCATAGTGGGGTGGTTGTTCATGATCCACTTAGTGATTGCGGGAGCAGAGGATCCGGTTCTATCTTTAAGAGCCACAATGGCASTGTGGATCAGCTCCGTGTAGGGAATCGATATGGACTTGCGCTTACTTTTGGAAGGAGTTTCGCCCTTGGATTGCACACCGTTTTTCGACGGCGGGTCCGATTTCGACGGAGTTTTCGCGACATCCGGATCGACCTCGATAGTAGTGGTATTGGCCATTGCTGGTGCAGTATTCTTTTTTTCTTTGATCGACAACCTTATCCAATGATTTTCGTCCAATTAGTTTGACGCTGAGAATGGAACTATGAAATGATGTGTTCAAATGTGAGCATCTGAAGTGATTGGATCCTGTTTGCTGTGGTCTTCGTGTTCTAGGCTTCGTAATGGTCGCCCTAGCATTCGTATCACAGTAGCAGGTGTTTCGTTGCCTAATGTAAGCAATTTAGATGACATGAGGTAATAACGTTTGGTGTAAGCTGTAGTAAGTCAAATGCTTTGAGATTGTTGTGAACAGTCGAAGAGACAGGCAGAGGTGGATTAAAATGATRCAGTTATCAYATTCCCAGTTCCACGACGCTACGGTGGAAATTGTTGCCAAATAGGRCRGTGGCATGAGCAGAGAAAGCATTGCGTTGCKYCGCACCCGACGCAGTCCCCCTACTATGTTCTACGGGGGAGAAAAGTGCCACCGGTTTCGACGAACTCAGTACGTGATTGAACATCCGATGTATTTTCTTCGTCRCGACATACCTGCTGAAATATTTAGTTGCCTACAGCTTCCTGAGATGTGTTGCTGATGCTGTTGTTTCGACTTTCCGTGAATATGACGTATCAACGCAGAATGAAATGAAACTGGTACAGCGCGTTTGTAGTGTGTATGTGGTGGAGATGACGGTCGCTTCGTATTTTTTACCGAGAAAGAGACCTACCGTAAGCGGTGTGGCGAGGCGCGATATTCAAGATGTGATCACAAATGATCACAATCCACAAGCCAACATCATCATACCGTTACGTACCGTGTACCGTGTACCGTGATACTCGTCGTCCACCGGTACTTCCGTTGACGTAAAAAGTAGTACGAAGTAGAAGCATCAAGGAAAAATAATAATGAAAACAGAAATGGCGCGCGAAGAAATCAAAGGCAAAACGTTTTGTGACACACCCACTGTCAAATGAACGTTCTCATTCACCCCTAATCATGGAAGTCGAAACATTAAAAAAAAGACTAAAACAGTTTTGACTGTAATTGGTTCGCAAAGCGGAGGGGGGGTCTGGGGGGGTGGAATTTCCAGAAACTTTCCAATAGGATGTTTTTAGTTGTAGAGCCTGCAGGGTTTTGAACTATAAGAAACATGGTAAAACAATAAAGTTACGGGAATGAGATGCCAGCATATATAACTCATTGCTGGTGGTGGCATGCGATGACACCTTCGACTTCCACTGCCCCCGAAGCAGACCAATATTTTTCACCCGAAATTACTCTAATGACATACTCGGTTGTACTACTAAGAATTTCTGATTGACTCCTTCGGCTCGTAACTTCTACCCCGTACATTACGCACTACATAGTATGAGTAATAGGTATGGTAGGTACCTGTTTGGGTTCGAATTAAGACTATTGATTTCTAACAGGTTATGAGTACAATAAAACGCCCAAATTTTGAGCTATCTTTGCTTGTTTGTTAACGCTAGCAAAGCACCAATCAGAATTAGAGAATCCGTCAGTCGGAAAGGGTTTTCTTTTCTCTTCACATAGATGTGCACATTGCTGGGTGTTTTTTTTTCGAAAACCTTTTCGGGCTTCTTGATTTCTCTGCTCACCAAAAAATTTTAGAAAAAAATTAACACAACCTCCAGCATAGCAAGCTGTCACCTCTTTAGTTCTTCATCAATATCCAACCAATCGCGCTCACAAGACAACTGGGCTAATCCTTACATTAAGGGCTCAAGGATACGGAAGTAGTGGAGCGATCGACCGAGTGGTTTACAAGAAACAGGAGATCTAAGCAACAGCTAAAATATCAACGAAAAATCGCAAATCGTATCGTATCAGCTCGTCCTCAGCTCAGCGAGCATCCGTATCGTATCAGCGAGCGTCCCCCTCCCCCCCCCCGTAGTATCAGTAGCTCCTCCGTATCAGTAGCTCCTCCGTATCAGCATCCTCCTCCGTATCAGCAAGCGTCCCTCATAAGCGACTCGTATCAGCATCTCCGTATCAGCATCTCCCTATTCTCCGTAGTTTCAGCATCCTCCGTACGGTATAAAATAGTTCCTTTTTGGTTCTACGTGGAACTAAGTGACAGCTTGCCCRTTGTGGTCTGAATTAAGACTATTGTTCCACACGTAGAGTCCTGTAGAATCCCTACCGTTAAAAAGCTGTCACGTCTTAATTCGAACCCAAACAGGTACTGTGCCTTGGCCAGGAACCAGGAACAGTTCGATAGACGATGGACGATAGTACTGTACGTAAGGTATGTACGGTATATAGGGTACGTAGTCGRGGGTCGGGGTTCATGAGTCATGATGATCTGTGACCTTGACTGTGTGAATGCACAGGTCTACGAGTATGCCAGTACGAGAGAGGAGGGAATAGGAAACTCTTCTCMACAAAAAATCAAGCTTGTTGTCGTTACCAATGGTCTCTACACAACACGATACCGGTAGGATAAGTTTCGACCTTGATTGTTCTTTTGTACTGGACAAGTACTACTAGTAGCTAATACAAGAAATAGTGTATCCTCGATAGCATCCCTGCACACCTTTCAAAAGGCTGCACTGATTATCATGTCGGCACACTGTTTTCTCTCGCTTGCTTGTTGTTCAGGTGTAAACTGTGTRACGATAGCCTGTCGATTACCAAACCACCATGCGGAGTTTCTTTCACTCCCATCAAACGAACACCATTTGCCCAGTATCGTTTGCCTCCGCCATCCGATGATTTCTGATCCTTCAGCAACAGAAGTTTTGCACGAATTTCTTCCGGTATCTTTGAGCAGTATTTGATAAGATGCCCTACCGTCATCTTCTGTGCGGTTTGATACACTCCTTCTAACTGTGAGAGAAAAGTGATTGGGGACAGCAATCAATGCATCGCAAATTGAGCGGGTTGAGTGATATAATACAATCGAAAATAGCATGCGTATTCTTCACGTGGTTGAAAGGGGAGCAACATTTTTTAATAAGAGCGAACAAGTTCACACGCGAAGAAGAAATGAAATCRAACATACTCTATTCGGGTAATAGACAGATCCAGTTTTGCGCTCTTTCCGTGRCATTGTGTAGCAATGCTTGCATCTGATTCCGACTTGMCCCACCAGGATGGGTTTATTACGCCCTTGTGCATTCCTAGAGGCATCGTTGGGMGTTGCTTCAAAGATTTCCATCTGTTTTCGCGCGAGGCATTGATACTGAGAAAGGTCCCGMTCGTCACTTTCTGTGTACAACAAGCATCCATTTCCATTGATAGAATCAATTGTATTTTTCCAAGACCCWGAARTAGAAGGATTCTGACTTTGYTGCTGGTTGTGTCCCTTTTCCTCCGAYATTCTCATTCGCTTACCGATGGGTAAGTTTCTCAGCACTCCTATGTCCCCGCTCTCCWCCCGCCGTCTACTCTTGTTCCKTCTGATCCMAATATTGACGCTGTTATTGTTCTTGGTTTCTGTAMATCGATCGAACGCCACTGCTCCATCTCTTTGGGAAGAAGGAGCTTGTGTCAATTGAGGCCCCAAGAAATATTCAAGATGACCTCCAACCCTATTTATGGAAGTCCCATGATCTTCCATGACTGTTGGAAAAGTCATGCAATCATTGTAATGTTTTTCGGCTGCTACTCCGGATATTGATTCAGCGGTGGAAGTGCGAACATTGTGGATGTTGAAATCGCCATTATTAGCGCTCAGTAAAGAAATATTCGCATYAGGAGAGATCATTGCAGTTTGATATCGATAAAWTTGGTTGTTGCCGATTGATGCTCCTACAGTATTCGATAAAGCGTTCGACGTCTTAACCTGTYGGTGCTTAAAGGTTTCATTAATGTGGTGGTGTGCCAATCCGAAGCATTTGACACTTTGCGTTATGAATCCCGTTGTATCCTCGCGATCGCCAACTTGGTCTTGATACGGGTTGTTTAGAATAGGGATTCGAAAAGACGAAGCATGAGAATATATAGAATCAAAGGTCATTATTTTGCTGATAAACACAGTAGATGTGGTGTTACGCCTCAGTTCGTTGAATGACTTTTAATTCCAAAAATGTACTTTTCGGTTGTATCTATTGATAATTGTGTTGCTATCAACGCTGGTGCTGTCCACTATTTTTTTTTCACAAGACACTTTCCGCAGAGTTCAAAYCGATACACGGTGTTGACAAAGCAAATAATGAGTAGATCATGCTCAAAAAGACGGTTGAGACAGCACGATATATTACGCAAAAATATATGCTTTTATTTTCGTAATAAGTTATTCGTAATAAGTTAATAAGAATGTTCGAATTATTGGATCAGAAGTACTAAATCGGGATGCGTGGGACTCCTTTCTTTTATTAGAACTTTACTTATTAGAAATAGGGGTGGCAGGATCTTGGGAATTGATTTGAAGAATTGAGAATGTTTTCAACAAAAAGAACAAGATTAATTTAATCCGCACAATTAACAACTTATTAATTTTCTTAATGATTTATTTAWGGCTCTCATGTCATAAGCACATAAATATTAATTCTCAGATTGCCATTTGCGCGAGACGCGCAGAAGTCTCATTCCTTCCTTTCCAATCATCAAGATTATTTAATTTATTGCAATCGCTGTTGCAGTACAAGGTACTTGTGATGAAGTAACAAAAAGCTTTCCAACACAGAAATGTTTTCGATCATAAGGCAAATTTTTAGTTTTTCAGAAGTTGTAGTAGTATGGTATTGTGGAGTAATTCTTTTACTGTATGGAAAGGCAATTCGAATCGCAGCATATCCAACSTAGGTACTACTCTGTAAAATTACTTTCGATAACTAATTGCTTACAATGAACAGCATCCTGAGCCCTGGAAGAACAGAACGAACGAAAGTGATACTTTGCACTACCGGGCGGAAGAAGAGTCGAAAAAGTAAGCTGTATGAGGMTATTTCCCCACGTCCGAAAAGAACAAAAAGCTTCTTCGTCATCGCTGGTCTCAATGGATCCAACAGTTATGGAATAAACAAGGAATTAAATTGGACCAATTAGCTTTTATATTCGAGTTTCARGTTGCTACTCAGCAGCTCAAAATTGATACCACTTCTTATTCTTCATATGGTTGTTCAATTGCGATGCTAAATTCCCGTATTCTCTGGCTTCGTCGTTCAATTGCTGAGCTTTATCATCCATCGCTTTGATCTTTTCGCCTCTCTCAGCCATTGCAGCCATATTCTGACTCATCTGGGACTGTGCAGACTGCACTTTGGCTGCAGCTTCTGCAGCTTTGTTGTCTTTCACAGCTTGTTCGATTTCCCGTCGCTTTTCTGTATTTTTTGCTGCTTGATCAACACCACCAAATAATTCGCCTCTGAGTTCGGTTTCGATCAACTGAGATTTTTTCCCGCCGCAATTTATTAGCATTTGTTCAATATCGAGTGATTTATTTCGCTGTGCGTAGTACATCGCCGAACGACCTTCGCCATCCACAAGATTTGGGTCAGCACCACCTCTCAGTAAAGCATCAACCATGTCTACATTGCATGGTTCCGCCTGAATGGCATAATGTAAGGGTGAGCTTCGATTATATTCATCAAGCTCGTTCAAGTTTTCAGGGTTTCCCATCAATTTCATATCACCGGTTACTGCTGCCGTGTAAGCTGGTTTCCGGATCAGTATATATTGCCAGCCTAATTGGTCTGTTACCATCGAAGGAGGGTCGGAACTATGCATAGTGGAAAGAATCGCAACATGCTCAATCGCTTT